AAACAGGCAGGTTGTTAGCATGGTAATACCAGTCAAGCGAGTAATCGGAAAACAAGTCAGCTATTCCTCGTCTGATTATAACGGTGTAGCCACAACTGATATAACCCCTATCACAATAAGGACCGTGCTAGATAGCTTCACACAGTCGAAATAACAGCTACCATTAGAGAAACTGTCCTTGACAGGTAAATGACTCAAATAATTTCTGAAACAAGCGAATGTTAAACGATTTCTGATGTCGTGTAATCTAAATTCGAATCTGTATTGAAAATGTACGAATTTTGAGTGTGTATATAAGTAAAATATCCACATTTTGGTAATCGAATCGCCACAAAGCGTTGCTAGGAAACGTTTTTGAGTAAACAAGATTCCACTTTTAGCGTTGGTTATTTGGCGAAAACTAATAAAACTCGGACAGTCTATTACAAAATTAATACGGGATCAAAAGATATGGCGTAGTATTGACAGAATACCGGTGAATATTAACGTAGCTAAAACAGTTGGACACCAGTACTGTACAGATATAATATCGGCTATCCCAAGAACGACTATCATAGACATTATCCAGCCGGCTATCTAAGTGTCTTGTGTGTTGTCTTATCAGCTCATTAACATTAAAACAATTAATTAATTGATTAATGTTAGTGGCAAGTCAGATTGACGATGTCTTAAACATTATTCGGTATCGTTAATCTAATAATAGACATATGGTGAGTACATTTCTGACGTGTCCGTATAATTTGTCTCTCAATATAAGCTCAATTACAAGGTACGAATCGTAGCAACGTATTGTTGTCAAGAATAGAATGATTGACACGTAATTCTCTAGGGCCCTACGAGAAGGCTTTGTCTACCATCGTTCACATAGTCAACCGATTTCAAAACAGTGTCTGCGTTGACGAACTAGCATGATTTAGGAGTGAATTAAATTAAATTATTAAATTTAGTTAATTTGTTTTTTTAAATTGCAGAGTCGCGATTCAGTAAGAGTTCAATTAAACTAGATAAAATAACTTAAACTCAATTGCATTTAAATTAAACTTAAGTTTACATTTGATTTGATTCTATGGAATCTAAGGTTAATGTAAGGGGAAGTTAGTTATAACCACAGTCAGCTGGCGCACACGTGATAATAAAATAAAACAATATTTACCATATGGAGGCCGCCATCTTGAATGACGCATAAAACAAAATAAAGAAACAAGTTGTGAAACGCATTTTTCAGATTCCTACAAATCAGGACAAAAATACCAATCTTTCACAAAAATACGGTCCGTTGGGGTTATATTAAGCCAACCGATAACAAAATTCGGCCTAATTCGTCGTTTCTGTGTGGAAAAATCCCTTGCATACGAACACCTAATTACGCGAAGAACCTAGAACACTAAGCCGGGGTATTTGAAACCGAAATTGTCATCTAAGCGTTAGGCCGTCGCTGATTGGCTGCTGAGCTGCAATGCACATTTTTAGTTTTAAATACCCCAGGAAAGTACATTGACTCCATGGACACAATGAATATGCTGTCGCACATAAACATAATACTGTACACTGAAATCACAGACCCACATAATACGGTGAAAC